AGAGGTTTAGGGAAGAAGGTTCCACAAAGAGAAAAAAAAAGTCTAATAGCTTATTTTTGAGATGAAGACAAAAGGTTTGTCTGGTGGCTGAAAAGTGACAAAGGATGGTAAAGAAGAATAACACAGAGCAGGAGCATAGACAAGTAGAGCATCTGTAGCAGTTTCCTAGGGCTGTTATAACAAATGATCATAGACATTTGGGCTGGAAACAACAGAAATCTATTCTCTCATAGTGTTGGAGGTCAGGAACACCCATAAGGCGCCAGCAGACCAAAGTTCCTTTCCAGGCTGTAGTAGAAAAGCCTCCTTCTCATCCTGCTTCTGGTGACTTGCAATGTTCATCAGTGGCAGCCTAACTCCAACCCCTTCCCCTCTCATCTTACAATCTTTACTCTGGCCCTGTGTCTTTCTCTGTTTTCATGAGAATGCTTACAATTGGGCTTAGGGCCCACCCCAAACCAGGATGACTTCATCTCAGAAAGTCCCTTAATCATGCTGACGAAGACCTTTCTTCCAAGATGGACATCTTCAGAGCCTCCAGGTGGACATACCTTTGTGGATGATACTATCAGCTTTGATAGTCCTGAAAAGATGGTGTTAAATTTTTACTTTGTCTTCAATAAAAACTGTTTATTGTATATATAAATATATATACATATGTATATACATATGTATATATATAAATATATATACATATGTATATACATATGTATATGTATAAATATATACATATATGTATATACATATATATATATATATATATATATATATATGTATTCCAGGTTTGAATTCAAGTCCTTATACTTGTGCTTGTTTGGCAGGCATTCTACCATCTTGTTCTGCATCAAGTACCTTGTGTATGGTTTCCCAATAACCAAATGCAGTTAGAGCACTCTGAACAAAAAATGCAGACAAGTCCAAAATCTTCTGTGAACTCTCAGTCTTGCATTATAATGCAGAGGATAAAGGGTAAGCTGTCAGCTCTTTCTGTTATTAGGTTCTATATCCAAGGATTCAGTTATACATCATAAAAATACATATTTTTTAAATGACTCAATAACTGGACATTTTAGGTACTAAAAGTAATTTCCAAATGAGTTACAATATAGAGGATGTGTGTCACTACTCAGTCTATGTAAGGGGCATTAGCATCCAGGATTTTGGTATCTTTGGGGTTCTGAAATGACTCCTCTACAGACACTAAGAGATGGCTGTCTGTCCATCAGCTTCATTTTGCTCTATCACCATTACTGAAATTTCTACTTGAAAATGTCCAAGGTCTGGAGATCCCAGTGATCCGTAGGGTTGTTTGAAATCCTTCAGGGTGGTAAGTGACATCAGATGAGATTCAGGGTATTTCTGTTTCAGATTATTATTTTCAAATACCTCAGGGATCTCTTAGGATACAAAGATTTTTTTTTAAAACTTAATAGCTCTGATTGCTCCAGGGAATAGTATGATTATAACAAGTCTCAGGAACTCAGGTTGGAAAACTTCCTTTAGAAAAATTCTCCTAACAGGTTTCTTAGTGCATTTGGGATGGTGTTCTTTAATAAAGCAGTGCTCCCTGGGTTGGAGTGAAGTCTCATAGATGAGGTCCCAACCTCAGTACACTTGGGAAAAGGCCACAGAGGTGGCCTGCTAGGATAATGGTTGGCAGGCCACAGGTGCAACACCTTTCTTCCTTTAGTACTTCCTCTCCATCACTACACTCGTTTCCTGTGTGTGCACCTGCCAATACTTCAGGTGAGAGCAGTTAAGATGCTGATGGGATTCATCTTTTCAGGGAACCCCAATCTTGATCCTGTTCATGGCGGAGGAGAGCTTTGCCTTTCACTCTCTACACTTCCCTTTTTTTCCATCTGGCTTTTAGAGACTGTAGAGATTCTTCATGAGCCAGATTCTGCAGCTCCTCTGAAGATGGCTAAGCTTTTCACAGTATAACAGAGTGCCTGCCAGGGCTGGAAATTCTGCCTCACCTTTGTCACTAAAAGCCAAGTTAACCAAATCTCTACCATTCCTTGTTCCAGCACACATCCTTCACTATTATTTAATTTATCCTAATTTAAGAAAATAATTTTTGTTTGAAAAAAATAATAAAGCTGCATTTGGGGGGCATTGTGGGTTTGAACACCTGCTTGCTAGGCAGGTGCTCTGCTACTTGAGCCATAATCTAGTCGATTATTTTTTTGCTGGTCTTGGGCTTGAATTCTGGGTCTGGATGCTGCCCTCCAGCTTCTCTTTTGCTTAAGGCTGGTACTCTACCACATGAGCCACAATGCCACTTCAAGCTATTTTGAGTAGTTTATTGGAGATAACAGTCTCTTGGACTTACCTGCCAGGGTTGGCTTCGAGATCTCTGCCTCCTGAGTAGCTAGGACTACAGGCTAGAGCCATCGGTGCCTAGTGATTTTTTTTTAACTTTTAGTAAAGGTTTTATGTTTTTTGCAAGGACTGATCTCAGACTGTGATCCTCTTATGGTCTCTATTATAGCTGAAGTGAACCATTAGTAATTCTCCTATAATATTTACCATTTATTTATTGTCTATTACATTTTAAATATTAGGTTTTTTAAGTTTTGAGATTCTATGTATGGTATCGTTATGTATCCATTTTATTGTTCAAATTTTATTTTGTGAAATGTTCATGCACTTAAAATATTTTGAGTGAAAGTTATTATTGTGTCCTTATTAATTTTGTATTTTTTATTGCAGACCCCATACTCCTTTAACTCAAGAGAATGACAAATGCTCATTTTATTTTTATGGTTATGTTTAATTACAGCTGTGCATGTAAGTGGGCAGTACATAGACATACATTAGACTCACTCAAGTATTTTTCTTTAATAAGGGACTAAAAACTGGTTCTATATGATTTTTTAACTATTTAGTCATTTTCCATAGCATGACTTGGCTTAATGGTGTGCATTTTTCTAGCTGAAATGTTATATTAACATTAAGCTAATTCTTTGACAGCCTGTATAGACTGATTTTCTTCTGTATATTAGGCATAGTAACTACCTTACATAGACTTAAAGAAAGTTAAAATTGAATGCAAAGAAATTAAAATTTTACTGCTATCATAATATACTCAAGCAATGGTAACTTGTGATATTACTGCCAAAGGAGATAAAAGTATGTAGGAAACAGCAAGACAGCATATGGAGTATATGAAGAATGCTACTGAGTAATATTATCAAAGAGGCAAAGATGTGACAAAGAACCTTCTTTATGCTGAAAATAAATGAATTTATACAAGGGATACAATCCTAGTATTCTAGTCAGCTTTTATTTTAACTTTTCATTCTTTACGCTCCATGATCTTTAGAATTATTTTGTAACTATAATGAAAGGTTTGCTTTTGAATAAATGTTTTCATATAGCTTATGAGACTTCACTGGACCTATGTCACATCAATTTCTTTGATTCTTGAAACTACATAAAAGGATAGGTGCAATTTAAGTGGCACAACACTATTGTCATGACTAACAGTTACTAATTGTATGGTCAAAGCAAAGGCTCAGCTTGGGGCATCTCACAATGAATCTTTCCCATTGGAACTATGAAAAAGAAAATTAAAGGAACAAAAGGAGACTCAGCTTTTACTGAGCAAAGAGAACTGAGCCTTTTGTGTAAGGATAAAAATCAATATCTCTGTTTTAGATACTGGTTAATAAAATACCTAAGGATCCTCAGGTTTTAGAAAGAACAGATTCAGGGACTTTTGTGGTTCTTTTCATTTTATTATTTTTTGGGGGGTCTGGTAGTGGGGCCTGAACTCTGGGCCTGGGCGCTGTCCCTCAGCTCTTCAGCTCAAGGCTAGTGCTCTACCACTTGAGCCACAGCGCCACTTCTGGCTTTTTTCTTTTTGCTTATGTGGTTCTGGGAATCGAACCCAGGGCCTCAGGCATGCAAGGCAAGCGCTCTACCACTGAGCCACCTTCCCAGCCCTATTTTTGTGGTTCTATATGACTTTTTGGACTGTCTTCTTTTTCTCAGTGAAAAATAACATTGAAATTTTGATAAGTATTGGGTTAATTGTAGATTGGTTGGGGATTGTGGTCATTTTCATGATATTAATTCCGCTAATCTAGGAACATGGGAGGTCTTTCTGCTCCTGATATCTCCTGTGATTTCTTTCTCCAGTGTTTCAGAGTTTTGTTGTAAAGGTTCTTCAGTGATTTATGTTAATTCCTAAGTACTTTTTGGGGGGGCTAATTGCAAACCAAGTTGTTTTCCTGATTGCCATCTAATTGTTGGTATATAGAAAGCTTGTGATTTTTGTGGGTTGAGTTTATATCCTACTAATTTACCAAAGTCATCAGTTCTCAGAACTTGAGGATGGAATCTTTAGGGTCCTTTTGAAGTAGAATCATATCATCTGCAAATAGAGACAGTTTTATTTCATTCTTCCCTATTTGTATCATCTTTATCTTTATCTTGCCTTATTGCTCTGGCTAGAGATTCCAGTACTATATTGAAAAGGAATAGAGAGAGTGGAAATCCTTGTCTTCATCCTGATTTTAGAATAAATGGTTTTAGTTTTCACCAATTAGTATTATGTTGGCTATAGGTTTGTCATAAATAGTCTTCATTATCTTGAGGTATGTGCCTTCTATTCCTAGTTTTCCCAGAGCTTTTAATGATGAAGGAATGTTACAATTTGGTCAGAGGCATTTTCTGCATCTGAGATTATGTGATTCTTTCCTTGAATTTGTTAATGAGTTTATTGACTTATATTGAACCAACCTGGAATACCTGGGATAAAACCAATTTGATTGTAGGATATGATTTCACTTTTTTTCATTAGTTGATGACTATGGCTAGCAGTTGTTTTGTTAAGGAGTTTTACATCTATGTTCATCAAGGACTTTGGTCTATATTTCTCTTTTTCTGTTGACTCCCTGGCTGGGGGATAAGTTCAATGCAGGCATTAAAGAATGAGTTTTATTGTGATCCTTCCCTTTCTATTGCTGTGGTATAAACAGGATCCACCATTCATGGGACAGGAGAACCAATCCTCTGTGACAGAATTTGTCTTCCTAGGCCTCTCACAGGATGCACAGACACAAGTCCTGCTCTTCTTCCTCTTCCTGGCCATCTACCTGCTCACCGTGCTTGGAAACCTGCTGATCATCGTGCTCATTCACATTGACTCCAGACTCCACACACCCATGTACTTTTTCCTTAGAAACCTCTCCTTCGTTGATTTCTGTTTTTCTACTACCATAGTTCCCCAAATGCTTGTCCACTTCTTAGCAAAGGAGAAAACCATTTCCTTTGTTGGATGTGCAACACAAATAGTTATGTTACTTCTGTTTGGCTGTACAGAGTGTGCACTGCTGGCGGTGATGTCCTATGACCGCTATGTAGCTGTCTGCAAGCCCCTGCACTACTTCACCATCATGACACAGGGGCTATGTGTCCAGCTTGCCATAGGGTCCTGGGCCAGTGGAGCATTTGTGTCCGTGGTGGACACTACATTCACCCTGCATCTTCCCTACCGAGGAAATCACATCATCAACCACTTTTTCTGTGAGCCTCCTGCCCTCCTGAAGCTGGCCTCAGCAGACACTTACAGCACAGAGATGGCCATCTTTGCCATGGGGGTGGTAATCCTGCTAGCTCCTGTCTCCCTCATCCTGGTCTCCTACTGGAACATCATCTCCACCGTGATCCACATGCAGTCTGGGGAGGGCAGGCTGAAGGTTTTCTCCACCTGTGGTTCTCATCTCATTGTTGTTATTCTCTTCTATGGCTCAGCGATATTTGCCTACATGAGGCCCAACTCCAAAATAATGAGTGAGAGGGATAAAACGATCTCTGTGTTCTACTCAGCAGTGACACCCATGCTGAATCCCATCATTTATAGCCTGAGGAACAAGGATGTCAAGGGGGCCTTCAGGAGAGTGATGGCAAAATAGTTTGTATTACATGATGGCGTTGGATTCTGATGTCCATTGTAGCAATATTGTAAGAAGAAAATGTATTGAATTTCATGGAATTGTCATTCCATTCATGCACATTTTTTTCTGTTTTCCTCCATTAAGTCTTCTATCAGATGAACAAATTTCCTAGCCAAAGAGAGGAATCATACTGTTAAATATAGAAAAGAAGTATAAGGTGAGGAGAAAGAAAGGAAGACATACAAGGATAAAGGGGATGTAGGGAGAGAAGAATGGAGGAAGGAAAAGGGAAGGGAGGGAGGGAGGGAAGGAAGGGGGGATGGAGAGAAGACAAGGAAGAAAAACAAGCACTTTTCAGCTTGTTCAAGTAGCCAAGTAGCTCTAGGGCTATATGTCAGAAACAAATAACCACTCAACAACAACGCAAAACCCTAAAACCAGCCATCAGAGATGAGCAAATGTCTCAAATGATGGATTTCTTTCTTTCATTCTTGCAAACATTTGACAAATATTGAGTTCATATTGCATATGCCCCATATTTTTATGCTAAGTAAGACATAAAATTGGTGCTATATTTCTGATATAACTTTTTATCTTAAATTTAATGTTGTTTGAAGCTTAAAAGAGTACAGATGAATGGTAGAATGTTTTTAAAGAGTATATGTATACTTAGGGGAATAGCCATTAATGTGTAAAATAGGCATTAATGTGTAAAATAAAGTGTCCAGTTTGATAACTGATTATAAAGTACTAAATCTAGGTAAAATTGAGAAAAGCTGATTTAAAACTTGCTTAAAGGGAGATGTTGATGTGCTCACCATGCAAAATGTTATGTGAGGTAATGTAAACTTTAATTATCTCCATTTATGCTTTCTATTTTACGTGTATATCAACATATAGATATATAATGCAATACATACTGAATATATTCACAATTCTATTTTTAAATCCAAAATAAAGATATTTATTATAAAATATAGAAGGGAATTAGACTTTATGAGTTCTTTGATTTCTGTATAATATCCCTTTGAGTCAATAGTTCCCTCCTATTGTTGATTGATCCTTATTTTACATGATTAAAATATCCTGACGTGGTTTAGATGCTAAGTATCTCTCAAAGAACCATGTGTTAAAGTTGGATCTCCAGGGTGGTACTACTGAGAAATAATAGAACCTTTAGTAGATTCTCAGGGACTGTTCTCAGGTTTTTAGAGACATGCCTGTGGAGGATTGTGGGACCCTAGTCTCTTCCTTTCTTCTTACCGATGATGCTAGACCTGAAGACACATGGACACCTGGTGCCAATGAGCAGTTTTATTTTTCAGATAATGTCTTCCATCCCATTACCCAGTTCCTGGGGTCAGCCTCCTACCTATCTGTGCCTCCCATAAAGCAGAGATGGCAAGGGTACATCACTTTGTCCAGCTTAGTTGTTGAAATAAGTTCTCACTAATTTCTTTTTTTTGCCCAAGTAAACATCAAAACACAATTCACACCATCTCCCTTATGAGATGCTGGGATTACAGGCATGTACCTCCACATCCGCCTTTGATATTTTGTTTTTACCATCCTGTTGAGGGTTTCATGGAGAATAAATGATTAGAGCACAAGCGTGGAACTAAGGAAAAGTCAGTAAGATGAATTCTAGCTTAGGTGAGAAATAAAGGTCTAAGCTAGGGTTATAATTAGCAGAGGGGAAGAAGGGGAAAGGTGCGCAAGGCGGAGGATATGCCTGATGAAATGAGGAGGACTAAAATATACTTTCTGGATCTTTAGCTTGACCTGTCTGTGGAGAAAGTTATAAAGCAGGATTTGGGTGGGAAAACCAAAACTGTTTTTTGTACTTGTTAATGGGGGCTTGTGTTAGGTGTGGCAGTGTTTTCAGTACCCTTATGTGCTTCTCTAGCTATAGTAAGGCTATGCAAACACTCAGGCTATCTGATTCTGCATCATATACCTCTAGTATGTGTTTTCGCTACTAGCAGAAAGTAATTACAACACTGAGTACAAATTCAGATTAGAGTCTGAAATTTTCTGAGAGCTATTAATCATGAGAAACAATGCAGAGGATAAAAGGTAGTTAGCTCTTTCTATTACTAGGTTCTGTATACAAAGATTTAACCAGTTATAAAGGAAATATTTTTTAAAAATGAGTCAGTAGCCAGGAACAGGTGGCTCAAGTCTGTAATCCCAGCTACTCAAGAGGTTAAGGTCTGAGGATCACGGTTTGAAGCCACCCCAGGCAGGAATGGCCATGAAGCTTATCTCCAATAAACTTCTCAGAAAATGCTGGAAGTAGTGCTGTGGTTCAAGTCGTAGAGTGCTAGAAAAACTGGAAGTGGCGCTGTGGCTCAAGTGGTAGACTGCTAGCCTTGAGCACAGAGAGGCTCAGGGACAGTGCCCAGGCCCTGAGTTCAATCTCCAGACCCCGTAAAAAAAAAAGACTTACTAAGAAAGGATGCACATTGGTCATGTATAAATATGTCTGGATTCATATAAGAAGCTTTCACATCCACAAATTTGGTATCTTTGGGGTTCTGGAATTACTTCTTTTCAGACCCTATGAGATGACCATGCTTCTATCAGTTTCCTCATTACCGAAACTTCTGTTTTAAAGAAAAAGTCCAAGGCTTGGAGATCCCAGAGCTCCATAGGTTACTTTGAGACCCATCAGTATTGTACTTGACTTCAGATGAGATTCATGTTATTTCTTTTTCAGACTATAGTTTTTTTTCTTTTTTCTTTTTAATTCCCAAAGGGATATCTTAGGGTAGCAAGGTTACAAACATTAACAATGTTGCTTGCTCTAGGGAACAGTCCGATTATATTGGCTCTTAGGACCTCAGATTTGAGGATTTCCTTTAGGAGACTCTGGTTTCTTAGTATATTTGGGGTGGTGTCCTTTAATAGAGAAGCGTTTCTTGGGTTGGGATAGAATATTTGGCAGAGATGATGTCCCAGCCTCAGCATATTAAAAAAACAGGGATGGAGGTGGCCTGTCAGCACAAGGGCTGACAGGCTGCAAGGACCTCGCCTCTCTTCAGATGCTATTTTTCTCCACCATCGCATTAACATCCTGTATTTGCACCTGTCAGTGTTCCAGGTGAGAGCAGGTAAGATGCTGAGGTGGGTCGAATACTTTCAGGGAGTCGTCATCTTGATTCTGCTCATGGAAGAGGAAGGCTTGGCCTTTCCCTCTCTGTACTCTTCTTAACGTGTGACTTCTAGGGACTGGAGGAGCTCTCCATGGGTCTTGTTCTGCGGCTCCTCTGAAGATGGCTAAGCTCTTGCCTGGGTAACAGCATGACTGGCAGTGCTGGAGACACTCTGCCTCTCCCTTGGCACTAAAAGCAAAGCTATCAAATTCTCTTCCATCTCTCACCCTTCCATTGAACTTCTGCCCCTATCATTTGTCTTTACCACAATTAAAAATGACTTTTGCTTGAATAAAAAGGAAGAATACCTGGACCAGACTCACACTTGCAACCCTAACTACTCAAGAGTCTGAGAACTGAGGATCCCAGTTTGAAGCCAGCCTAGGTAGGAAAGTCCATTAAGTTCCTTATGTCCAATTACATATCAAAAAGCCAGAAAAAGACTGTGGCTCAAGAGGTAGAGTGAAAAACCTTGAATAAAAAGCTCAGAGACAGTGTCCAGGCCCCGAGTTCAAGATCCAGGACCGTCACCCCTCCAAAAAAGAAAGAAAGCAAGAATAAAGCTATACAAACTCTTGATCCATTTAGTGGTTGTATCTTAATTTTTTTTAATGGTGGCACTGGACTTTGAACTAAGGGCCCCGTGCTTGCTAGGCAGGCTCTATAACTTTCATTTAGAACACAAAATGTAATATCATATTTTTGTGAACAGGTATGTTTTTGTCTCATATGCATTGTTCAATCTACCCATTTTTGAGAACAGGGGTTTATATTTCTTACGTAATTTTCTGATGGATTGCATTACTGATTTTAAGGGCTCTTCATATGTTAGGAATAATACAAATTTCTCTTAATTTTTTTGGTAAATATCCACAATTAAAATTTTTATGATAATGCTTATTAGATATATTTCAAGGTATACAAAACAATGCTATTGAACTGGGCATGACACACACCCATAATTTCAGCACATGGAAGACTGAGGCTAGAAGGTAAACTGTTCAAGACCAGCTTGACCTATAGAGGGAGACCCTGATTCAAAACAAAAAAGAAAAGAAAACTTACAGCAATAAAAATAATGTTATTGGATACATATAAACAGTAAAAAGGTGAATAAAGTGAAGCAAATTAGAATATGCATCACCTTACCCTTCTTTGTTTGTTGTATGGCAAGAGCAGTTACATTATGCTGATTTAGCATGAATCCCAAACCTGGTGCAATTTAATCCTTGTGACTATGGTGCTCTTCCACTAGTTCTCTAGACTTACTTGTCCTGCATATCAGCTACCTCACATACTCCAACCTACGTCTCCTCATTTCCAGCACTTACTCATTCTAATCCCTGATAGCAAGGGCTTTTATCCTCCATTCTGCTGTGTTTAAGTGCTTTTTGTAGATTCCAATGGATAAGCATAGTCATGCCATCAGGTTTTTTTTCTTTCTTTGTCTTGCTTACTAGCATCATGTCTCCCAGGCTCATCCACACTTTGGCAAAATGGCAGGAGCTCATTCTGTTGGTGTTCTTGAATAATATTCCACTTTACATGGAATGGAGACCCCTGAAACCACCTGATGTCCATCAGTGGCTGGTTAAATGAAGTGTGGTGTTTGTGTCTATTTATGTATATGAATAAACATATGTATATATATATATATATATTTAAGCACATGTTCCATACATTAGTATGCTACTCAAAATGATTGTGACTGCTCAGTACATATTGTGTTAAGAAAGCTAAAATAATAATATATGTTATAAGAAATAGGATATGTTTCTTCTACTCCCTTCTTTTCTTTTCCACACTCCATTTTGTATTATTAAACCTAATAATACAGATAAAATTTTGAACACATGTGTTAAA